CATCATTCATTCTCTACAACCTGGGTCCGCTGCATCTGCCTCACCTTCGGTTGTATGTTTAGTAACATCTGATGGTTTGTAACTTTATGGATTATTCTAATAACATTTAAATCTTATTACATTGTATTTGCACGGTCCGTGATGTTGGATAGAAACTGCAGGATTTAAAGGATTATGCACACAGATTTTGCACCTTCTCCATGAAACCATGAAAGATGAAGTTTTTCTGCTCCTGAAACTGACTTCCTGTTCAAATCCAAATATTTATGTTTAGTTAACCACTGATTTTACTCAACTGAAATTCCTTTTTTAAGAACCGCTATAAAACTTAAACAAATCTGTAGCTTATGATCCTTGTCAAAAATATTGGTCTTATTACCAATAATATGCCGACTGCTGCTTCACATCTCATGGCCCAGCAGCTTTACTTTAATGCTACATTTTGAAACATCACTGCCTCTGATTAGCTCAGTGATCCATGTTGTGCATTAGCTGAGTTTTCCTGGTGACCAATGTGTGCCCTCTGTAATTAAGTATTTACATCTAAGCCTATAAAGTTAAGTTGTGTGTAATTAAATAAAGAGCAGTCAGTAATACTGCAAATTCTTTATTGAAAGAAGTCTACACATTTTCATAATTTGCATAATCTGCTATGCAATATGGTTTGGCTACACAGAACCATTATTAAGAAATGCTTCTACCTTTCTTGTAAATTAAGACAGAAAACTCAGCAACAACTTGAGTTGATTGCAGCAGCAATTTAAGAACAGATTTCACTCCATGCAGTATTTCAGATATTTAAGACAAAAACCAATCAACTGTCTCTATAGACAAATATGGAGCATTTATAATGTGATACGTTTTTTTATCCTTGTCGTCTCGTCCTAAACTAGCACAGTTTGTCTTTAAATCACATAAGATGTGATTTTGTTCGGCAACATGTTTAAACGGAGTCAGGAAGTATTTTGCACAAATAAAAAACTCTTGATTCGGCACTTTTTTGTCTGAATTTTAGATGTTTTCTGTTTTACATAGACGGAAAAAAGTTGTGATTTATTGTGATTTATTGCAAACAATTTTGAACTCATAAAAACTGAAAACCTAAAACATGAGAAAATCTGGCTGATTACTAAATTAAATAACATTTACTACACATATGCCAACATCCAACCAGTTCTTAAAAGACGACATCTTGTGGAAACTTTATGTTCAAAATAAGATTTTTTTTTTTTTTCTGGACGGTTTTTTGGTATCAGAAAGATTCCTGAACATTTTTCACTTTTTAACTCTCATCAATAGTTCTTCCTGGGGTTTTTTCTGCCTTTAATTTATCCTTTTTATACTTGATTGCATGTCAGGAAGTGGTGATTGTAAAGTAAGACGTTCCTCTATGGATGATGATGAAATGATTTCTGCTGCAGCTCCCTGTGGGGGGATGCTCACTGTAAATGCTGTTAATTATTCTGGTTTTAGCAGCAGTGGCATCGTTGATACTCTTGATGATGATTGCTGTTAATCGTTGAGACAGCAGGTTGTAACTGGCTGTGTGAAAAGATCCACATAGATCCGTTCACTTTAAGTTTTTTAAATGATCCATAAGAATTTGTTTGATTTAATTTTGGAGAGTGTAGGACAAGTGGTCAAAGGTCATTGTGCTAAAACCTCAGGGAGTTGATGTGTCATCATGGATAGTGTGGGATGATTAACAGATGAATGAATCTGTATTAATGAGATGCATTGCTATAAGAACAATTATACTCACTACCACACGCAACCTGCTAGGATTTAAACTCTTGAGCCTCACTTCACATTTAATTTGTCTCAGTGACTGTTCTGCAGATGAAGCCCAACTTAATCAGGTTGCTCCTGTGATAACTTCATGCATTTCTGCGCTTTAATCAGGAGGATGAGATTCAGGTTCATCTCATTAATTCACCTAAACTAAGTTAGTCATTATGTGTTTTATATAAATGCTGAAATCCAGATAAGTTCATTCTCACACATATTTGTGTTATTCTAAACATTTAGTTCCATTACAGCAGCTACAGGTGAGTCACCATCTTCATATTATGTACTTGAAGTAAATAGTAAAATCGGGCTTAAACTCATTGGCATCTTTATTGGATCTTATTGTTGTTGGTCACTTTTCTTTTTCTGTGTTCATTTTATGGCCCTAAGCTGCACTTTACTTTAGCGGCGCCCTGAATGGACCAACAGCTCTGCAGGGCGCCGTGTCATTGAGCTGAAGCTGCTGTTCTTTCTGCTTTCCATCTCTCTCTCCTCAACCTCTTTCATCTGTCGTTTGCTTCCTTGTCGTCCCGACAGCCTTCAAACAGCTGGAGACGTGTTTCTGTGTGCCTGTGCATGTGTAAGCCGACATCATTCCTGGGATGTTTGACACATCAGCTGCAGGCAGCGCTGGACTAAATAGGCTATTACACACCAAACCACCCTTCACTCTCACACTTCCACGCTAATGCACATACATTATTGGAGAACCAGAAACAGCTGGAATACTTCAAAGAAAATGCAAACAAATCTGTCACACCCTGAAGAAGATCTTTAAGTGGGAACATGCTAACACACCACTCAGTCTCTTACATTCTTCCCTCCCTCAATCACAGACACCATTAAATTTCCCAACGCCTTGAGCCGAGCTGACAGCGGAGCGCGTGCCATGTGTGAGTCCAGCTCTGAAGGGAGTTAACTGATTAAGTATATCTGTGACAGACACGATCCCTGCTTAGTGGCTACTGAAAAACGAGGCGAGAGGAGTAAGTGGAGAAGAGATGAGAATGAAAGGAGAGGATGGGATAAAACGCCTTGTTCAGTATGTTCATCTCACTTTGTGACCGTCCTTTAATCACCTGTCTTAAACAGCAGCTCCATCTGTTTCTGGAGGCATTTAAAGTCAGTCAAAAGCAGCGTTAAAATTCGTTTACACAAATAAAGCACTTTTAATTGCTCTGGATGAGGTAATGATTTTTTAATTGACTTCTAAATTAATCAAAATTGTCAAACAACAGCAGCTTCTTTCACTGCTCTGAAACTCAATCACTCAATGACAGTTGAATGTGTATTTTTGGTTAAATTGAACCATAAACTATCTAGAATGTGTTTGAGTCACTTTATTTTTCCACCACTATAAATCTTAACCCAATGGACCGATGCATGAAATCCTCCTCCTCAAGCAGAAAAGCTGTTTTCTCTTTCTGGCATTTTTCAAGCTGCAACAAAGACAATAGTAAACAAAAGAGGCTGTAAGTCGATGTTTTTGCTTATTGCCTTGCAGCTCAAAAGAGCATAAAATCTGCAGGAGCTTGATAAGGTTTTGTCCAGTATCGGTAATACGACAGAGACTTTATCCAGCAGCCTTGACAGGAAGAAGATCAAATGTTGCAGAAATAGCTGCCAAGTCTTCGTCCCAAACCACACAGGCCATGTATAACTTGTGTTTGGAGCAAGAGATGTTTGTTTCCCTAAAAAAAGATGAAAGATTGCTTTCTTATGGGCATTCTGACTCTAAGAGTTGTATAAAATGTCAAGAGTCCTATCTGAAACAAATCCTCATTCAGTTTGCAGTAGAAACCTCCATTTCTGTTTTCTGTGGTGATTCTGGCATTCACAAAATGGATCATTTTGGTTGTCCTGACTGTAAACAGGATACATCCCCTTTAATTTGATGTGAGAAAACAATTTTGTCTTTCATACGGCTTGTGTAAATATGTAATTTCAGCTGTATTTCTGTATTAAATTGGTCGAGCTTTGTGTTATGCTATATGAAGCTATATGACCTCTGATGTTGAAAACAACCCTCTCCTTTTTGCTGTACACACCAAACAATCATTAGACTCTGGTTACTCCCTCTCATTTGTGTTCAGCAGCGGTCTGCAGGCTCTCACTCGGCTAAAATCTGATCTGACGTCTCCAAATTGCAGCTTTCTGCTACATTCACTGACTCTGTGAGTCTGTCCATGATACAAAAAAGAAACTATTTTATTTGGCCTTTTCGGGACCCCTCAAGTTAAGTTCTCCACTACAAAAACTTTCTTGCAGCGGCTGCAGGGGTAATGACAAGAATTTCAAAGATGATGGAGGCAAATGAAAAGGAGAGAGTCGAGGGGCCAAAAGAGGAAAGAGAGGAGTTGCAAGGTTATAAAGAGAGGGAGACTCTGCCAAGGAGTGGAGCTCATTAATGAGTAATGGCTTGGTGACTCTTTGCCCTTGGACACCTCAGCTTCTGATGGCTTTGTTGTTACTCCAGTCCAGTGCCAGATGCCAGCGTGAGACTGTGTGCACTCTGGGTGCCTATATCCGGTTCCAGGCTCAGTTCCTGGCGACAGATAAACGGATTCAACACTGAACTATGGATATTTGGTTTAAACATCTCACCCCACTTATATTGTGCCAGTGAAAGCTTTACATGCAGTCATGATTGTTGTGAACATGATATTCATTTGCCCACGCTAAAGATGATCATGACCTTGTCTTTTTCAGTGTGATTAATTGCAAGAAGATGATCAAGTTTTTTGGGGGGTGTGGCCTGTTTGTGTGAGTCTCTTCTAAAAAATGCAATCCAGTTTATGTTGAGCAATTTCACAGCAGATTGCATCGAGTTGAATGCTGCAAGTCGATGATGTTGCTGGGTGAGAATGTGGCGGCAGTAGACAATCGCTTGTATTGTGTCGTTGAGTTTACTACAGTCGCACAAAGCAGAGAGCGCATGTAGCGACAGTGGGAGGAAAAACTCCCCTTTAACAGGAACAAACTTCCAGCAGAACCAAAACCGGGTTCAGGGCTTGAGCCAGGAAGACTTAGTGACACATCAGTATTTTTGTCTTGCTTTGCACTTAATATAACTATTTCCTCTCAAACATAGCAATATGCATATGTTTCATTATATGTTGAGGTAATTTTCTTTTGTATACTGTTTGTACATCTAAGCACAAATATTATTCATTAGTGAAAAGACAATAATTTCTCTTTGTCTCAAAAGACGTTTTTAGCTGCTGATATACTGTACACAGACTACAGAAAGATCCAACCCTCTGTCAGCCTCTTCAAACCTGTGGCCTGTGTCCAGATTTGCAGTGTTTGCGAGCCAGTACCTCCTGCCATTTCAGCCCAATTAGAAGCTCCCCTTCCTGGGCAGAGAGGAGCAGAAAGGGCCCCTCCTTCCTTCCAGCCTTATATCTGTTGCTCTCCTGTTATGACAGCCTCTGACACGAGGTCTGTGTAATTACTGCTGCCTGAAGGAGCAAGACAGTATGGGGCAAGACAGAGGGAAGGGAGGAAGGGATGCAGCAGAGGGAAAGCACAGAGGAAGAGGAGAGATGTGTGGACAGGATCGGCTCGGGAAAAGAGGAGAAAAGCGGAAGCGTAGAAGTCGGGAGAAGGAGAGAGTGAGCAGACGGCTGGCAGACGACCTCCTGCTGGTTGTTTGTACATGCAGTGTGAGGAAAGAAGAGTTACAAAGTGTGAGTGAGCTGATAGCTGATGACAGTATCTAGTACCAGTAGAGTGGATTCATGCTGCTGTCCCGGTGGCCACTCAGCCGGAGCAGCAAGATTTCTGTCATTAGAAAAACACAAGACAGATTATTCTCCAGGCGATCCGACGATAATTAAAGTTTTTTTTTTTTCTGCACAATGTTTCAAATGAATTATACACTGCAAAAACAAAATCTTTCCAAGTGTTTTTGGTCTAGTTTATAGTGCAAACATATTGATACACTTGAAAAAAGACAAAACTAACTTAGAAGTAAAAATGTACTATTTCCACTGGCTGATTATTTCACCTATAACATGGAAAAATGTCTTATTATAAGTGTCACTCTGCAAGAGGCACAAACTCCCTCATCTTGCTGAAAGTTACTTGAAGGTTAGTTGTGTCTTATTTCAAGTGTAGTGAGATATTTGGAATAACAAAAATACTTGGTATGATTTTGTGTTTTTGCAGTGAGATTCTGTTTGCAGGATAAAATGCTTCCTCTGCAGAGGTGAGGTAAAGGTAAAAACCCTGCAAACACCATCAGAGGACAGACCAGATAAAGCAAAGGTCTGTAACGATCCAATCTGCCACTGATCCAGAGTGCTGAAGGTTTTGTCGTAAAGTTTTGCATTTGAATTTCTTCGCGTAGTGAGAACATGAAACCCAAACAGACCTGGAAGTTATCCAAGGTCTGACAGAAGACCAGCAGCACCAGCCATGGCAGAACCAACGATCCCTTTCAAACACGCCTCCAAGTTTGTCTCAGTTTTTTTTTTGGTGACTTCTAAATAAAACCCCTTGGTTAAAAAAAACAAAACAGCATCCCTTCAATTTCTGAATTACAATCCACATCTACTCCAAGATGTTCACTCAAACTCCCAAAATGTCGACGCCTACTTGACAAAATAATTGCGCCCATGTTCCCGCAGCGAGCGAAGAGGAAATGGTCTCGGCTGAACGTCTGAGTCATCGGCTGAACAATAGATTCTCCTCTAAAAGCCGCTGTTGACGAAGAAACTTCCAGAGTTGTGAAAAGCTACGCTTGACTTTAAATCGATAACGTGTGATTCTGTTTTTTATAAATCTATTACATACAGGGTCAGTTTTGTTGACTCAACTACTTAAAACAAGGTTCAGGTTTTCAGTAGGATACACATTAGTAAAGCAGTTCCTCGTTTTTCAACCTGTTAACTTGATGACAGTCAGTAATTTATACTTACCAGTTTCTTCTTCTATGCTTTATTTTAGTTCTCTTCTTCTTGTTATTCTCACATGTTCGTATTACCTCACAGTGGGGGCGGTAAAAAAAAAAAACAGTGTTAAGAAAGCAGCCAAAGTCCGTAGGTGAGGAGGAATAAACCAGAGATAATCAGTCTGAATTAAGCCCACCTCATCTGCAATTACCTCCTGTTGCTATGACACGACTAAGCCAAATGACTGCCTCCCATTATATGTAATCACTCTCATGTGCATCCGAATATTATAGAAGGCTATTACTGGGCCCAGAACAAAATAATGACTTTCAGAAGCGGAAAAAAAAAAAAACTGATTTATTTGTGGTGACATGTAATGGGGATGAAGTTTGAGTGTGAAGGTGAAGTTAGTGTTTAATTTTTTTGGCCATAGTGGAAAAATTGAAACAGACCCATTCAATAAATTAAAATATGATTGAAAAGTCAATTTATTTTAGGAATTTTGTCAATAATCACACTATATAGATTAATTACACAGACAGATGATTGAATTACACACAACGGTCTGAAAAGATATTAATTGAGCCTTTTCCTCATGAATAACTCATGAATATTCTCTGGTCTGAACTAGTTGGCTCCATTTTGCAGCTATTAGCTTCCCTGTCCAGCCGAAGAGAAGGAACTCCACACCATGTTGCTGCCACCTCTTATCAAAGCAGAACAACTGAACCTGATCTCCACTGCTTGCATTTTCAGATGAAACTGAACAGGTTACATCACCTAACCGTGCTTTAAACCTCTGCAAAGGTTTATCACTGAGCTGCTTCTCATCATGTTTGCTTTCTGATGTTCTCTGTTAAAACGCAAACAGATGAACTCAAACCAGTTTTTCTTGGTTGCACTGGATTTTATTTAAGATAATTAGAGTAAATAGTGGTAGAAAGAAAGCGCTGAGCACTGGTCAGATGTGTTTTTAACTATGAAAAGCATGTATTGTTTTTACTGCTGTTTGGAAAATAATGTTATGTAAAACATCTGTTGGACTTTCTTGCACAAAGACAAAAGAATTGAAATTCTAAAATCTTTTAAAACACGGTGAAGATTGCTATTGTGACATAAAATGTAAATTTTGGAATATAAAACTAGTTTATGTTCATGTCCATCATCTGTTATGCCTTCGGCACCGAAAAGTATCATGGAAGTATTTACATTTTAGTGAGAGAGAAAATTGTTCTCTCCTAAATTTCAATGACCTTGTAATGTTTTTTATAAACTGCTACTGACTTAATGAAGTAAATCTCTGAATACATTTATGGTAGATTGGGAAAAGTGTTTCCCAGCATTAAGAGTCGCCTCTTGTAAAACAATCTTTCTCTTGATGGTTATTTGGCAGCAAATAAAAGTGTTTGCTGAGAGCAGCGGTTTGTAATGGAAACAGCATTTCTGACGCATCCAAATAATGTTTGTTTTGAATTGCATCGGGGAGTTCTTTTATGTTGCTTCTAACAAATCTATTGAGTTCATCAGAGAGAAACTGCTCTGGGACTGAAAGATGTGAGGAAACAACAGTTCTAAATGAAACCATCTGAACCAAACCATGCAGATTCCTGCTCTGTCGCCAGCTTTTGTTTCATTTTCATGTCGCATTCTATTACTGTGTTTTTCAATTTATTTTAAATTATTTTGACGCATTTTGTAGAGATTGTCTCCAGTGCATACGTCTTCTTAAAGAGGACTGATTTTGCCTGTAATGTCATGATTTTGCCCCCTGGTAGCCAGATCCCCACCTGCACAGTTAGCTTCTCCGATCTGTGGGTAAAAGTAACTTTAGGCTTGTTGTATTTTTGTGCTATCTGATCCCACAGACGATCACACCAGAGTCCGACTGCAGCTGCTGGATGGAGACCCTCACTCCGACTACATCAACGCCAACTATATTGATGTGAGTTAACACACACACACACACACACAAGCTACAATAGGGCAATATTTTATGTACAGATATTGAATGTAATATCGATACATAACATTCAATTCAGAATTGCACAGAATTGTGGGAAATTTAGGCGGAAGAAAGACTTTAATCCCTCACGACTAGCTAAGCAAGGTTGGTGTTTTAATATCTTATTGTAAGAATCTGAAGATCTGCTCACACCAACAAATCCTCCATTTAGATTCAGGTCTGGATCAGTTAATGACAACCTGCCACAAAGACTTAAAATCCAAACTTTGGCCGCTTCCTAAACTCTCATCATAGCGTTAAATGATCCCCTAAAAGATTCATTTTAACCAACTTGGTAACATTTAGAAATCCATTAGATGTTTTTCTTCATTTCTATTCCCTCCTCAGTGCTATCATTGATTTTATTGCGTGTTTTTTCCCCTCACTTTAAACAATTTTATTCATTGTTATCTCTTTACAGCACAACATGATTGTATTGACTGCTCTAATGAACTTGTTGGAGAAAATCTCTCATTCAATGAGTCTGAATGCCTTTTTTATTAAGATGTAAGGAAGGAGGGATGTGGAAAACAGAAATCTGAGCATTACATTGTCTCAATTAAGAAATGCAAGGAGGATTTTAATAGCAGCAAAAATTGATTAAAGTATTAAATCTCAGTCCAGTTATCTGTCTAACGAGGAGCAGTGGATAACATCAATGGAATAATTGGTGTTTAGAAAATTACTGACAGAAAAAAAATAATCCTTTTTTATAAACCGTTGATTATTTGAAAAACAACCTTGGTTTATTCAGAGAGAAGCGGATAGTTTGGAGGACAAAACAGGACAAATAGAACTGGAATAAAGGGAAATGCACAAGTAGGTGGTGAAGAAAATGAATTAGGCAGGAAAATAAAATGGTAAATTTGAGCTTCTTGATTTGAGCTTCTGAAGTCAGACTTTTGAATTCATAAGTGTCTCAGCAAAAGAAAATAATTTTAAAAAATCAAGTGATATCAATATTTAAACATATTTAATGAAAGATTGAAAGGAAGAAGAAACTAACACTTCAGTTAGGCAAATTTAATTATACTTGAAAATAGAAAAAAAGGAAGAACACCCTAAAGAAAAATGTAAACCACAAATGCATGAGAGACTTTTATGCTTTAATTATAAAAATATCAATAAAACAACCACGATTCAAAATAGTCTTAAGCAATGAAGCATCTGAAACTGTTTCCTCCTCCTGTAACTGAAGCTGCGTTTCTATTGGCCATGTTTTGTGCACTTTGGAATTCAGAAAGTTTACTGGAAGGATAAATGGCAGTTTTGAAACAAGTTAATTTTTTTGATAAGTGTTTTGTGAATGGATGAGGTGGTTTTTCAGACGTATTGAAATTGGTTTATTTTGCAAAGCCTGTGATGGAAACACTTTATATCCACGGATAGAGACTTCTTGCAGCAAACACAGAGTTCACCAAAGTTTGTTGTTCAAGTGTTGAATCCACAGATCTTCTGTAAAACTGCTGACTATTACTTCCTGAAACGCTGCGAACTTAGACACTCCCAGGAATAAGGGACTGAATAAGACATCTTCTTTCAGCTGATGGTGCTCGTGCCAAGAAATATGAATATATCCCATGTAAATGTTTACTTCTATCACCAGGTTGATTTTTAATGACTTATTGTGTGAGCAAACTATTGATTTTAATAGAATTTGTTATTGAATAGAAACACGACAATTGTGAAATTGTATTTTTTGACATTAGCATGACATTAAAAAGTTTTGCACACACTTTTATTGGAAATTCAGATATTGTTATATTGTAGGAATGTTTCCCAAGGTTTTTTTAAGTTACTCCACTTCAATAAAGTTTGCAGAAATGTTTTGATCTTTTAAAGTTTCATACCTACATTTTAGTCAGTTGGAGGTTCGAACTTTGACTGAGCAATGCAAAGCTTTGATTTCTTCCTGTTTCACCCGTTGTTTGGCTCACACTGACCTGCAGGAAGCTTTTTATAAAGTGTGATCATGGATTATTCAGTGACTGCAAGCTGCTCAAGCCAAACTATGAGCCCTCCACCTCTGTGCTTCACAGCTGTTATCAGTTTTACTGTATTCTAAGCAAAAATGTAACCAGAAGGTAAGGAAGCTTTTTAATGCCTTGTTCCCTCTGACTCACAGGGCTATCACAGACCCAGACATTACATCGCAACACAAGGTAATTAAACTGGTGCAGTAAGCATATGACAAGATGAAGGGTGGTGTGTGTGCGCGTGTTGAAGTGTGTGTTGCTGCCACCAGCATGGCGTCACTTCGGAGTGGAAGGCTGTTACGGCAGCCTCCTAAATCTAAACTGCTGTATAAAATCCCCCTGACAAATTTAAGACCCCATTACCTCAACCCCCCAAAACTGCTATGTGGGATTGATGGGGTGTGTGTGTGTGTGTTTAGTGTGTGTGTGTGTGTGTGTGTGTGTGCGTGTGTGCGTGCGTGTGTGTGTGTGTGTGTGTGTTTAGTGTGTGTGTGTGTGCGCGCGCCTTCAGTTGTGTTGTGCTTGTGTGTTTGTAACAGTGTATTATCACTGCTGATATTTTCTTTTCTAACATGAGTTTGCACCCATCTGCATGCACATGCACACTCGCACACACACACACAGACAGACACCTGTCGGCACTGATTTTGTGTGTTTTGTCTGTCAGGGCCCATGCAGGAAACGGTGAGGGATTTCTGGAGGATGGTTTGGCAGGAAAACTCGGCCTCTATTGTCATGGTTACAAATCTGGTGGAGGTGGGACGGGTGAGTTCATCCTCAGCGCTGTTAAAAATGATGGTGTCCTGAGAGTACCTGTGCGCAGCCGGACCTTCGGCTTTGTGATTATTACCAGGCGCTCTGCTTAAATCTGTGTGTTTGTGTAAATTGTGTTTTTTCAGGTGAAATGTGTTCGTTACTGGCCTGATGAGACAGAGGTCTATGGAGACATCAAGGTGACCCTGATAGAAACTGAGCCTCTGGCTGAATACGTCATCCGGACATTCACTGTCCAAAAGGTAAACAAGACTTCCTTCATCTGGCAGGTTTCACCAACTCGATTGGGATTGTGAAGCTGCTCCTTCCCCTGACTGTCTGTGTTTACATAATATGAAGATTTGATGGTAATGTGTTCAGATTGAGGACAAAACAAGGAAAGGAAGTTTTTTCTATGTTACATATTTTTTTAAATCCTGAATTTCTTCTTTTTTTATATGCAGGGTGTCTTGAAAGTCTTAATTTAATGTATTTAAAATTAAAGCTTTAAAATTTCTTAAATTCATTTTAAAATATATTTTTTCCATAAATTGTTAATTACAGGTGTTGAATTTTGTCGTGTCAGAACTTTGTAATATTGAGTTATATGTAGAGTTACGTTATTTTCTGTCAGGCCAGAGATAGACATCTTTATTGCATTTTGTGACTCAAGGCACTTCAGGTAGCATGTGGCCTTGCTAGCTAACTAGCTAGCTTTATTTGTGTCTATCATGGGTAAGTGCAAATTTATCACCAGTTGGCTGGATGATGTTTGCCTTCGCCAATGGTTCACTTTTATTGCCAACCTATATGATGCTACATGCATTCTGTGCAAAAAAAGCTCGGCCCTGTTGGGATTAAGGATGCAGGAAGCCAAATGCAGCGTGAGAAGCACAAAGCTTCTGCCAAGAGCCATAAACAGACTTCAGAAATGTCAGTTTTGATAATCTGGTGCGGCTACAGCTCCTCTGAAAATGGTTGTTGCTGCTTCTGCTACAACTTATCCAAGAACATTTGGTACTAACCATTTAGGAGTTTTATTTGAATAAAGGTGTTCCAGTATCTATTGTTAATCTCACAAGTAGTAGTATTTCTTTCTCAAAAGTTCTTCATTCATACAAATGCATATTTTATTTTGTACATTAGTTATGTCTTAAATATTATTCTTTTTGGCCTCAAAATGTCTGCAATTTCCTCATTCCTCATGGTTCGAGAAAGTCTTAAATTTCATTCATACTGGTCTTAAAAGATCTTATGTTTTATTTATAATGGTCTTTAAAAGTCTTAAATTTGAGTTGGTGAGACGCTGCAGCAAAGCTTCTACATGTAATAATATTTTTTGCTTTGTATGCAGGTAAATTAAGAAGGTTATTTTTAAAGTCCTGATTAAATCTGTATAGAGCTTTCTGTTTGAGGAAACAGAAAAATAGTTCATCATAAGCAGGACAACTTCATGTTTCTCTGACCAAAATTGCCACAAAATCACATTTTTAAATACCTGCATCGTGAAACATATTTTTTGACTTTTGTCACTTTTTTTTTTTTGGTTTTCTGCACTTTATCCAGTTTCTTCCCCATCCCATATTCCCTTCCTTCTTTCACTCATGCGAAAGCAGCTTATCAAGACAAGTCCTCAAGCCCTTGCCATCAGCGCATTTAGCAAGCCATTAATCCAAAGCACCTCAGTGTGTGGGTGTAGGATGGGTGTGTGTGAGTTTCAAAGGAAAGCTGATTTCGAAATGCCTGTCATTTATTTCAGCATGCAATGAAACATGCGAATGCAGAAACTCAGACCCAGAATATTCCATCTCTGCTCTGAAGAAGCTCCTGTTACTGCCTGAATGTGAAGAACAAAGCAAAGAGAAGACAAAGGCAGAGAGAGAGAGAGTGAACAGGTTCGAGGCAACAATTAAATTGCTTCACTTGCAGTGAATAATGAGAACAGGATCTTAATGAAAACATTTATTAATGGCACATCCAAAGAGATTAACTGAGCAGAGAGTAAGGAAGGCCGACAGGGTCTCAAAGAAAGAGAAAATATGCAAATGCATCTGCAAGAGAGAGAGCAGAATAGATGGAGGGAGAAAAGATCACAAAAGGTAGCTTGTGTTTGAGAGTCAGGATCAGTTGTAAAGAAAAGCTGTGGGTGAGGGAGGAACATTTCTGTTCCACGGATTGCCAGACATTATTTTCAAAGAGTTCATTTCATCTGTGAAAGTGGAATTTTCACAAAACATGCAGAAACGAAGATTGCAACTTTAGTTTCACCGTGTCTCTTTCTCACTGCAAAACAGATGTCACCTTGTAGTCTTGCATGTGTAGCTGAAGACAATTTCTTTCATGAAGCATTTGTTGTTGCAGACCATCACACAGAATCCATTAAAATGGGATTTATCTAGTAAACAACACTTTTGAAGTGTGGAAATAAAATATTTTTGTGAAGCCAAAGATTTGGGAGTGCAGCAGGATTATAGTAATTTTGGGTTTTTATTACAGTTTAGTTTTATTTGACTCTTTGTTTGTCTCGCTAGTTTTAATTCGTTTTTAGTGTGTGATAGTTTTTATTACTTATTATTAGCCACATGTTGTTTAGTTTTAGTTTAGTTTTTATTAATTATAGTAGTTTTTTCACACTGAGTAATTTCTAAGTGCAGAATTCAAAAAGAATAAAGTATTGTCATGATGTATATATTGATTAGATAATCAATACTCAACAGAGGTGTGGAGAATCATCCGTTCTGCATGCTGAGGTCTCAATGTATGAGGTTAAGTTTGAATTCAGATAGCATTTTATTAATACCGGGTCCATGTCTCCTTTAGGAGAGGTAACAGACAACATGGCGCCCAGATGAGTTTGTGATCTCCTTTGTTGGCCTCCATCTATGCTGCGCGCCAAAGAGTTCCCCAGTGTGTCATTTCCTCTAAGCAAGGCTCTCATTTCCTCACGTGTCATTTCCTTTAAGTTTAGCTTAGCAGAATTTTCCTTTTCTAAAAAATAATAATTTTCCAGAATTTACGATTTTCACAAAATGTGTTCAGTTATTGTTGAACAATTGATTCTCAGGTTTCCTTCCAACTTTTGCTGTTGCCATTTTGCAGACTGGCGAAAGTATTGTGCCTTAATTTGCTAATTTGCTTATGTGAGGGAAAAACTAATATTTCACTAATAGATGGATTCATAAAAACTGAAACAAAAAATATAATTTCTGTATGTTTTAGTTAGAAACGCTCGATATAGTTATTCATTTCAGTTAACAAAAATCTGTCCTCAATTTTATTTTGTCAACTTTAACCCTGGTGTGCAGAATTTTAACTCTCATTGAGCACAAATGAGAGGATTTAAAACCTCAACACTTCAGGCAGTTCAGACTGAACACATTTTTCATCATCTCCATTTTTTACCAGACTTTGGCCCAAGTCCCTCTTGAAAATAAGATCCAGATCTCAACGGCTTTACCTGGTTAAATAAAGGAAATTAAATAAAAATCTTCATTTTTTCAGAACTGAGCTTTGTTATTCTGACAACAAGCAGGTGTGCTTTGTTTCTTTGGAGTGGTTACAGTGACATTTTAGATTATAACATCTGAGTCATTCATTATGTCTTTGAAAAATCTGTAAATGGAGAGCCGTTTCAATCAAAATTAATTAAACTTATTAATAAATAGTAAGGAAATTCTCCACGAAATCAAAAGAAAAAAATCTAAAAATAAACAGCACTGATGAAAGCTGACTGGAGCTATGCAGCGCAGTGGTTTTAATTTGTCTGTTTTAATTTTAAATTTAATCAGACGTCAGTTGAACAATAAATGGTTCTTGAATATGTTTGGAAACGCTCTGAGGTGCAGCTGCAGTCTGCATTGTTACAACCAGGAAGGTCTCATGGAACGAAGGACTGAAGAACATTTTGCTTTTCATGAAGCACAGAGCAATTCATGTTTTTCCCAGAAATAAAACACTTTAGTTTTACAAGGTTGTTATTTTGAATGCTTAAGCATTTTTCTATTCTTGTATTAGAAAAACCGGTGAAGCTTCCAGTGTTTCAGCTCAAGAAAATAAACACAACAAATCTGTTGTTTTCCATCATGACATCTATTCTGATGGGGTTTTTCAGGTAAATGCTCCCTCTGTGTTTTTTGAACAATTGTTTCCTATTTCAAACAACTAGCAGAGAAATGAAAGGGAAATAGCATAAGGCGTAATTGGTTACAGAACAATCTCCTCGATGTCAGGCTGAACTTGTAAGTAACAACTTAATGGTTGTTGCAACTTTCTCATCCTGTTGCCCCAGGATTCAGGATACTCAGACTATAAAGGGCAGGTTGAGTTGCTCTCACAAGGCAGTCAGAGCACTTTGTCTAGCTGTAACAGGACGGAAGATTAAAATGTTTATGCAAAAAGAGAAAATGCGCTGAAAAGTTGTATAGAATCTCATAAAACTATGGATTCACTTCATTACTTTATTTGCTGACAGGAACAGTTTAAATAAGTGTGCAGATGTTTGAAGGAATTGTTCTCATTTTTCACTGCGAGGGGCAATTCTAGATTCTCATTTTCCTTCGAACATTTTAATGTTTTTATTTTATTTTTCTAACCCAAGTATTGTGAATCTGAGGCCATGTTTTTATGCCGCCTATTGATTTAGAGAAGTAATTTCAACATCATAGAGAAGAGTCGATCGATGCAAAGTCAACTAATCAAATTACCTTGTGGTTTTTCTGGGTTTTACGCTGCCTTTTGTCCTTCCTCTTTTCTTTTACTTCCGTCTTTTCTTTCCTTTGCAGTCTGTCTTTTATCCCTCCTTTTACCGTCTCCGCTCTTCTTCCTGTCGCTCAATCTAATCATTTATCCCTTGAACTTTACACTTTTGCACTCATTTTCTTGACTTTTATTCTCTTTCACTGTGCCATGCTTCTTCTCAAGCCATCATTATGCTAAAAAAATCCACTGCAGCCCGTCCTACCTTGGCCCAGGATGAGGGATGCAATAACAACAGTTTCATTTCAGTTTCTATTCTTAGAGCGTAAACTGAACTTGGGAGATCATGACTCTCTCCGTTTTAAACCACTCTCAGTTTAGAAGCATAAAAGGAAATCGATTGTTCTGAATAATTAAAGAAAGAGCACACAGTGTTGTAAGGGAACGAGAGGAAAAGGAAATAGAATCCCAAAGTGTGACGCAGATGTATTTCCAAAATAAAAACGAAGAGATTTAGGTTGCCATATCATAATAAATGAAAGTACACCTGCTGACACTTTCATAAAAGCAATTTAGTCTTTTCTGGGTTCTATTCCATTTTTTAAGTGAACAAAAACACATCAGATTGTATACATCATTTATTATACCAAGAAGAAGCCAAAATGGAAAAACTGGGTCAGTAAGTAATTGATTAGTTCATTAATTTAAGAGATTCTACGACCACCATGTTTGCAGCAATAACTCATTAAGTCATTTTCTGGAAGACTGTCAGGAGTTTTGCATTTCAGGCAGTCTTCCACTTCACACCTGCTCACTAATCCTCTCCTGGTTTCTTCTGTGGCTGCAGCCTTTGTTCATCTGACCTCCGTTCCTTGATCAGAATAAAAACAGCACATTTTTCCTGTAATTTCTTTTCAACAATTTATGACTTTGTTTTTTCCTGATAATTTGAAGTTTTTCTGATTTTTATTTTATTAAAAAATTAAATGTTGACATTAATATTGAAATTCACAGAGAATCAATGCCGATATGTAGGCATAGGGAAACGTTTCTTTCATTCAGCTATTTTGTCTCCAGAAATGTAGTTTAGAGTTTCATCCTCAGTCACAGAATTTTCATCGTATTTCCAGTATTCATGCAGTGCTTTACGCAAAACTGTGCCTCCACTGTAGGTAGCATGCTTTTAAATTTGCCTCACAGTTACTGTCTTTTCCTCTTGACTAAGTTATATTTAGATAGGTACTTTTACATTGATGTACTGTCCACCCAAAGGACTTAGAGGGATGCTAGTCTCCTTGGCAGCAAACTGGGAAGCTGAACTGGATGATGGCATTTCTTTCTGTAAGTTTCTCCCTAAAGAACCATCATGAGATTTGTGAAATCAATTAATCTTTTTTATGGAGCTTGAGTGGCCTTCAGTTTCCCAAATCTCCCCTGTAAATTAAGCAAATGAGCCACAATAAGTCTTCCTGCCGCTCAGTCCCAGAAGTGGCCCCGAGCGCCATCTCGACATGCACTAGATTGATTTATTTTCCATGTGAAACCAAAGACACATCAAGGCTCTTGTATTCCTGAAAATCCCTGCTGTAAATTAGGGTCCTGAACTGTGATGCGTCTTCTTGTCAGTTTGCCCCAAAAGAGGAAAAAAGCTTTGTGACATTCCTGCATTTATCATGATCAGGAGAGAAAATGGCCAACACTTTTCACAAGGAGCTGAAATCCTTTCCTGAGGTTTTCATTGCAAACGCCTGCGACTGAGCCCAGCGTGTCGTCATGTTTTTCAGAAGGGCCACCATGAGATCCGTGAACTTCGTCAGTTTCACTTCACCAGCTGGCCGGATCACGGCGTTCCCTGTTACGCCACGGGACTGCTGGGCTTCATACGGCAGGTCAAGTTCCTCAATCCACCGGACGCTGGACCCATAGCGGTACACTGCAGGTAACACAACACTCTGAGATGAGCTAAATAGCAGATTAAGAACCATGTACTAATTCTACTTTTTTCCAGACAAAGGGACAAAATAGAAGCTGTTCTTCTCAGATAGAAACAAAGACGTAACTTTTACTGGTTTGTTGTAGGAGCTGGTAATGCAGGCCACAGATAAAATGTTTTAACTGACAAAAAAAGAAACAACAAAAAACACATTTGTGGACATGTCAGTGTGCTCCATCCTGGCCCACACAAACATACTATTGAATTATCGTCATTGGGAAAATATTTTTTTGTTCGTTTCAGAATAGTCGCCAAAAAGGCCAAATTGTTCCTCAGTCTTAGTTAGTAAATCCTCTGCCAGACATGAAGTTTGGTCTGAATTTCTCAATTCATTTGAAATAATTGAAACTTGTATTAATGCAAAGTGTAGATCTCAGCAGGGAATTAAACAAAATAAATGTTAACACCCAGCCATTATTAGTAAATAATGGAAGCAAAATACTATAAGAGGCGCCTATTTTCCAATTCTCATTCACTTATCGAATGTTTTTGTGTTTTTCTTCCCGACCTATTTTTCCTTTTTTGGTATTTTTTCCACACTGACCCATTTTCTTTTGCATTTGGCTGTGAAGCAGTGGTTGCATCTATTATATAAAATAAAAAGGCAAACATGTGCTGCAAAGTAGGATTGTTGAAAGTTCAGACTGTTGTGAAATTGGGGCACAGTGTGCAGATTCCTTTTCTTCAAGCATTTAAAATAACAAACCTCTCAGAAAACCTGACCAAGCAGTTGGCAAATCACTTTTATATAAATTTTGAAACACAAAGCAGTTTGTTAAAACTCAGATAGCTATTTTTGATAACCTTAAGTCTTTCAACTCAAACATATTTGACAAGACAGTTTTGTTAAATCACAATTTTGAGAGACCTTGTAATCAGAACAACCCATTCTGCAAATTTATTAAATGTTTTCTTGGCCTTTTATTTACTCAAAGTTTGTTTCTCCCCTGTTAATGTCTCACTTACACAAATATACAATATTTCAAATGTACACTTGTGCACCTCATCCACCTTAAAGAAGTAAGAAGAAGCAGAAAAAGTGCAACATAACCAGAGAAGGGAAGAAAACATCAGACAGACAAATGAAGAGAGCCGACGCGTAAACACACCAGCGTGGTGGAAGTATGTGGACAGACAGGCAGGAAGTTATGGCAGTCACTTCCAATTTCCGGGGGCACTCTAACGCTGTTGGCCTGTGTCACAAAGCTTTCAAACACACACACACACAAACCCAACAGTATTCTGGTCTCTACATTAATCACAGACGCTGACAGGTAATCTGCTGAGGCGCTTTCTATCTCTCCTTCTCTCTCTCTCCCTCTTCTCTCCTTGTTTTCTCTCTCCAGCTGTCTCTGAAAACTGTCATAAGGATTGCAGGATGAAAGATGGGTCTCTTTCCTCCACTTCCCTGTCCCTCCATGCCTCTTTTCTTTGGTTTCCTCTCCATCCCTTCACCTGTCCCTCTTTTCCTCGCTGTTATGATCGCGTCTATCGCTCACAGTAACATCTTCACATCGTTCCATGGTTCTGCTTCCTTCTCTCCTCGACTCATTCGCTCCATCTTTTCATTTGTTGGTCTGCCTCGCCTCCCATCTCTTCTGACCAGGTGCTGCTATTCAGTTCTGTCACTTTAACACAAAGCATGAGATACTAAAGTTCTTTGTGTGTGGATGACAGAGGAAAACAGTATTTGTGTTTGAGCCTTTGTTAAGTTTGTGTTTTGCCCCAAGAGCTGTACAAAGGAGGGAACTTTTCCCGTAGACTTTAATGAGATTTTGGTAAAAGAAGTGGAAAACTTAATTCGTCTTTGGAGCGCCACAGCTCTGTCATACTTCAGAAATACCAACCACTATTAAAACCAATAACAAACAATGTTACACTTTTCCTTTGGCATTTAGACTTCCTTGTAGTTTTAAATTGAATGTTGTTTTCCAAACTTGTAAAGATTAATGTAAGGTTAGTGTCAGTGATGATAGATGTAATTGTTTTATTGCCCAGCTGTAACGATGATCAAGATTTCTTGTTTATTGACTTGTCAGTTTTGAGCAAATACATTTTTTAATCTTTCATAAAACTAGATGAGTTGCTCACAAGCGAGTTGAAACTTTTCCATGTGTCTCTGCAGCGCTGGTGCAGGGAGGACAGGTTGCTTCATCGCTGTGGACATCATGCTGGACATGGCAGAGAATGAAGGAGTGGTGGATATTTTCAACTGCATCCGTGAACTAAGATCCCAACGGGTCAACATGGTCCAGACAGAGGTAGGAGGAAAATAAAAAAGTTGTTAAAAACCTACACAAAGGTAACTTCAAAGAGTATGAACCTGATATCGTTGGTTTAATGTCAGCCAGCCTCCACAGATTTCCTCAAGCGTTGTTTTTGTGAGCCGACATCCACAGTTAGTCATTGTTCTCCACTGTTTATTCAGCAGCTCTCAATGAGCCTGATCAGTCATGATTAGTGAGACGGGTTGCAACTGTTGGCCATGTCATTTTAGAACAGAGGTATTCATTTTCTTTCTAAGCTACTCTAAGCCCATCTAATCCATCCCGCCCCGGCTCTCCATTTGTGCCTTTAATGAAAATAGTGTGCTTCCAGAAAAATGAACCTTTCCACCATTAGAAAAAGAAGACTTGCTTTATGCTTAAAGACTAAATGACTTTTGAATGTGTTTGGTTCATGAAAGCCACCCAGAGCATCACATGGCGGTTTCTCTGTTATGATGACAATAGTGCTGTTACTGCTAGCTTTTTGTGTGTGCGCCTCTTGAAACCAAGCTAAATGCATCCTGCCCTGCCTTTAAATGTGTGGGAGCAATTTGTGTCAGCGTAGAAGCAGTTCGCCTCTATTATAATCCTGCTCCGCACAACACAAAGCAATTAATCTTTTAAAAGGCACAGAGAAAAGTGTGTGTGTATCACTCATCTGTTTGCGCGTGCGTCTCTGCATGTGAATGTGTATTTGAATGCCACTAAAGTAGGTAATGACCAACAGAGGTCACTTTGATAATGCTTTTAAACTCGCCTCGCCACTCGAAGGGCAACAAATCAAAATTCAGCAGAGACGGAAGCTGGGCGATAACATAGGAGGCAAATTGAAAATGCGAGAAGCTGCAGACAAACACGTGTGGGACACGGACAAAAAACTGAGCTGACACAAGATAAAGCAGCCGGCTGTGAATTAGTATGCACTTTGGCTGCTGCAGCTCTCACCTGAGGGTTTAGGGATTCAGACAAGAAAGACCAAACTTCACCATAAAGGACCAATGCACTGCAACACTCCCTGCTCCATCAACTCTGTCTTAGTCTGCCGTAACAGCAGTAGAATGCAAATTCTGTATTTATATGCATAAACAAACAGAAACTGAGTTCCTGGTTTGCTTACTTTTGATCGAGTGTTGAAAATGCTGCTGGGCCAAAAATGCATCGTTTACTCAACAGGTGACATTTGTTGCTGCTCTAAGCAAGTGGAACAGAGTTCAAGCTGAGCAGCTGTTTGCTCACCAACTCAGGAGACAGAAAAACACAGACACCCTCAGACTGTCTCTTATTGGTGTTGCAGGAGCAGTATGTGTTTGTTCATGACGCCATCTTGGAAGCATGTCTATGTGGGAACACAGCGATTCCAGTGTGTGAGTTCAGGGGTTTACTACAATATCAGCAGACTGGATCCACAGACCAACTCCAGCCAGATTAAAGATGAGTTCCAGGTAAATCCATGGAAAAGGTTTTGTTTCAAGACAAAAGGCGTAAAAGTCTTTTCCCTTAAATTTAAGAATGTGTTGTTTTTAGCTGGATCGAAACTATTTAATTTATTGTTTATGGATTTGATAGACGCTGAATATAGTGACACCTAGAGTTCGTCCAGAAGACTGCAGCGTGGGCTTACTGCCCCGGAACCACGATAAGAACCGCAGTATGGACGTTCTGTCTGCTGACCGATGTCTGCCTTTTTCATATCTGTTGATGGCGAGAGCTCCAACTACATCAACGCTGCATTAATGGATGTAAGTTAAACAGACTTCTGATGTTCTTCATAACTTCAGTGCTCTGGTTACCATTTACCCAAAGACCATGTTAACCTTCCAGAGCCACAAGCAGCCAGCAGCCTTCATCGTTACCCAGCATCCTTTGCCAAACACCATGGGGGACTTCTGGAGGCTGGTGTTTGACTACAACTGCTCCTCCATTGTCATGCTCAACGAGATGGATGCAGCACAGGTACAACATGCACAACTCTTTTAGGAGTGCTGCCATCTACTGCGGAAAATGTCAGATTAAATAAATAATGTTCTGAAGGCATTGAAAGTGTAGAGCCCGTCTCTTCTGATGTTATAGTTATGTATGCAGTACTGGCCGGAGAAGAACTCATGCTGTTACGGCCCGATTCAAGTGGAGTTCATATCAGCGGACATCGATGAAGACATCATCAACCGAATCTTCAGGATCTGCAACATGGCTCGGGTATCCACTGTTTCTTTTTCTTAATCCACAATGTTACTGCTGGAAACATTTGACTGCAGCTCCTGCACACTTCACTTCGCCACATGTGGTTTAAAGATGCTGCACAATTTATTGATATGAGATACGGTAAAATGTTCTGACCTGGAAGCCAACTGAGCTTCAGGCAGATCAGTTTAATGCAGAATTGATGCCAAAGGTGAAAAAAAAATGATTCTATTTGAAAAGAAACTGAGGTCTGGTTAGTATTTTATACATCATTTGAGATATTGCTGAAATGATTAATCGGATTAATCGATTCTTTTCATCAACTGCATAATAGTTAACTGAATTATGAAAGAACAGAACAGATCAGTAATTATATATATATAGCATTTAAATAAATAAACATCAAATTAGCCCTACACTGAACTGATAAATGGCTGAGTTTTTCCACATTTTTAAAAGTATTTCTTTTAGCTGCAGATGCAATCTTTGCTGATCAAATAATCAAACGTACATGTAAGGAAAGAAAATTGTAATTTTCTCATTTCAAAAAGGAATTAAATTACTCACTTTCTCGCATATTTCTGTTCTACTATTGCAATTTTTTAAATGCAGCCCTAGTTTGCAGTGGAGCTGGTTCAGATCGTTGTTCTCCTTGATCGACTTTTGAAAGGGCGTTCTTTAGGATGAGACTTTTTCCTCACCTTTCCCTGCTTTCCATCTGCCTCACTTCCTTTTGTTACTCCCTTCTCATCTCATCCATGACGGTACAACTCCAGTGCTGCCCTCTCGTCTATGAGCTCCTATAGCGCTTAGTGAACTCTCCTCCCACCTCCTCTCTGTGTTCTCTCTCTCTCTCTCTCTCTCAAACACATCACCAGTGTAGTGTGAAATGGCTCATATCATTGCCGTAACAGCACATCTCACTCTGCTAGAGTCTGAAGCACCAACCACTAAGCCATCAAATGAGGGAAACTGTGAAAGAGGGAAAAAGAGGAAAAAGATATAAAATTTACAAATTAGTGGGGAAGAGAGAAGACAGACAAAAGGTGAGAGAAGTAAACCAGCAGGTCTGGATGTGTAGGAATAAAATAAATACATGTTATTGTCTTTCACTGATGACTTTTTGTTAGATTGACTAGATTGACTCGGCAGAAATGAATTCTACAGTAAGCAGCTGTTTTAGAGAAATTATCAGTTATATGCTATTCAGGCATCCTGCTTTGCACTCAGCATATTTTTCATTTACTGACAAAAACACCAAGTATTAGGTTAAACTGCTCTGATTTTTGGAAGAGAAAACAGCCCACAGCATCATACATCCTCCACCATACTGGGTAATAATGTCTAATTGTGCCACTGGCTTTCTGACAGTGGTGGATGAACAGACAATTTAATTCACATATAAATTGAATCAAATTAAATTTTCTTTGAAGTACATTTGATCACAAAGCAAAGATAAAACAAGCATCTTTTGTGACCTCTTCTAGTATATTTTTTTATTGATTTTTCAACTTTTACAGATTTAGATATTTTAGCTGCTTCCTAGAACAAAAATGTGTGTTTTTGTTTTAAACAGAAACACACACATCATTGCTGCTTTAACAATCTTTTAAATTCCCACCTTTCTTCTCAGCCACAGGACGGTTACCGCCTGGTGCAGCACTTCCAGTTCATTGGCTGGCCCGCCTACAGGGACACGCCTCTTTCGAAGCGCTCCATCCTCCAGTTGGTCCGGAGGTTGGCCAAGTGGCAGGAGCAGTACGACGGCGGAGACGGGAGGACTGTGGTGCACTGCCTGTGAGTACAGGGAGACGAAACAAAGACACAAAGCTCCTTAAGCACTTAAAGAGATTTTAAATGTTATTCAGATTAAACTGGACAGTTTTCTAACCCAAACAATTCTGTTTCTGTTCAGCTGTAGAAAATTAAGGCACCTCCACACATCTATCTGTTCTAAGCATTTGTTCAGTGCTTGGATGGGTTCAGAATCATCTGATAACATTGAAAAGACTGTTAACAAAGCAAAGTAAAGCTACAATTTCATCATTTTTAAAAGTTTAATTTCTGAGTTTTCAAACGGTATTTCTGTATGGACAGACCAGAACAATTCATTATTCCCCTGTTGAGGCACCCAAGGCAGGAAAAAGTCTAAAACATGCAGTTTGTTGACTGCCGCAGCTGGAGTTGTCCAACGATTTAAAGGAAAAATTTATGATCAGATTCTATGAAGTAGTCATCAGTAGTCAATACCATTTCTGCAGCTGGGATTCTGACGTCTGGGCCCGAAAAGCAGCTTTCGCCTTAGAAAACAACATATAAACCTAATAGAATAGGAAACTTCTATTTGGATTAGTTAAGTTTCCAAAAACGTATTGGAAAAACAAAATGAACATCAAACGGTGCAGATCCTCTGCTGGTTATCCCAGCAGAACGAAGAGGCTCAACCCAGGCGGACTGATGCAACAAACAGAATCACAATCAAACAAGTTATTTTGTGTGGAAACATTAACTTTTACTTTCTGATGTATTAAATTCATTTTCTCTAAGCTCATTGTGGCAAAAAAAAGTTTCTTCGGCCAACAAGTGCTCCACACTATTATATTTCTAAAAATGTAAGTTTCCCTTTAAATATCAGCTCAGAAATACAAACTTGGTTCTGATTCATTTAATAGCAATTTCATCCTTATGCACAGCTTCAAAAAAAAAAAAAAAAAACCTAATCTTCTGCGCCAACACTGCAACAAATTACACAGATCATTTATCTTTACTGTTTGGAGGTGCTTCTGTTGTTGTGCTACATCTCATGCAGTAAAACAATCCTTCAATGTCCACTTTTCAAATTTATAACACTGTCGGTAACAGGCTGATTACACACACTCAAATTCACAAACTCTGCCGAGCTCCATAAAAAATCCATCTGTGCAGAACAAATGAGGAAGTAAAACAGCAGATGTAAAAAACCTAACAGGAATACACACCATCCAAAGATGTTCTCTTCCAGGCGACGTCTCCCACTTCAAACTGCTGCAGGAATAAGATCCAACTGCAGAAACTGCCGTCAGGTCCTGCAGGTCAAATTAGTCAATATATTGTCCATAAAATTAGGTATAAATCTAGAAATGATTCATTTTTAAATAACAGTTAAGGTCACTTGGCTAGAGTTTCACTTTCAGCTAAAAGTTCAATCCAGAAATATTTTTAAGCTTAATACAGAAAAATGAATTGCTTCTGTGTAGACACTGACTAATCAAACAAAGCGATTGATTTTGCTCCTCTGTAACATCAGTAATAATGATAAAAGAGGATGATTCAATTAGCAGCAGGTGAACATCGATTCCTCTTCCCCCACTGATCTTCATGTTTCAATTGAAGCAAATAAAACTTTGGAGAATAGCAGAAGGTAGCACTATGTTTGTGCTATTATTCAGTCTCCAAAGAATATGTTGGATAAAGCAGAGGTACAAAAATATGATTCTGTTTTGTTCCAATAAATAAAGGCTTAATGTTTGAAACTAACTTCACAAGTTAAGACCCTCTTGAAGTCATGATCCTGGTTGCATAGAATATGTATAAAAATGACTGGATTTATAAGAAGCTTTGACATTCAGAGTAGAAACTGCATCACAAGCAGAAACATTTCACTGCTAATATGACTTTGAAAATGATCTTTTGCTTTATTTGTGATGGTTTCAAGGTAAACATTTGCAGAGTATTGATGCCAATTGACTTCAACCACCATGAAATATGTGAACCACTAATTCCTGTTGAGTCTCATTGATTCCACTCTGCTGCCTGATGATGTTTAGTTTACATATTAAATATCAAAATCTATATTTACTGGATGCGTTAACGCCACAATAATCACCATTTTTATCTGGTTGTTGGTCTCCATGATCCCACCACCTGCTGCTGGTAAAAATATGTTTAAAAAAGTTACAGAGCGTTTGCTACCTGCTACTTAATCTTAAATATAGTAGAAAGGTGAAAGTCAGAGGTCGGTGACCCCTGAGTGATTTGAGCTATTTTTTGGTCCAGTATTTAAACTAACATTTTGTAAAACCTCACAGAGAAAATGAGGTTCAAATTAGAAATGCATTATATGTTTCTATCAGTTCATTTTCCCAACAGCAGTCAGAGGAAGTCTGGTCTTTATCTCTGCTAATTTCACTGAGCAGCATCAGAGTAATCCAAAAAACATCAATGTGGATTAAAGCACCACCTAAAACAACAGCCAGGAAACTGAAATATTCATAACTTTTGATTTCTGGGACCTAATTACCAGTATAAATACTAATTCAGATGCAAGGAACCGTTCTCTGTGGCTTTAATTAGATTTCTAGAGCAGCAACTTTTAGATATGCACAGTACTGGACTTTTCTCATACATATCTGATTATAGTGTGAAAGTTATTCAGTTGTCTTGACCCTACTGGCCACTCGAGTCCTGACCCGTTTTAAATCAAATCAGCTTTCCTGCTTCTTGTTCTTCAGTAATTAGGTTCATCATATTAATGTCTTTTAGCCCCAAGATATAACCTAAAGCACTATTGCAAAATGTATTTAAAATATTATTTCTCCCGCACCTTCATGTTAATTTTTATCCCAAAGCAGGAAAAAAAAAACATAACAAGAAATAGACAAAGAATTTCTAAAGGAAGAGCTTTGCAAATCTGGTCTCAAAGTACAGAGGACCTGAGGTGCTGCAATGCTTTCTGAAACAAAACTGGAATATTACACATACCTCACAATAAAAAATAATTCTTTAAAGCTTGTGTTGGTTTGACACTATCAAAGCTAAGGATACAGGAGCTGAGTCACTCCTGGCTTTAATATTTTAACAGAAAGTAGCTTCAAAAACCAACTCACTGAGTAATGCTTACTGACAGCAGGTTGGATTACAAATTATACACAAATCAAGAGAAATATTACTTTTGTACAACAACATTTTCATTTACAGTTGCCAACGCCGAATGGCAACAACACATGGGCCGTTTCTATTTTTGTTCAGTATAAAAAAAATTGAGATCTATTTTTCATTTCATCGTCTTATGATTTGCACAAATTGTTCTGTTTGTGACATGTGATGATTTCCAGAGTCCTTACAGGCGCCTCCGGTTGGTTTCTAAGTGTTGCTGATCTTCGGTCTCATCCTTCTGCTCTGCAGCACCGGTGGAGGACGTTCTGGAACGTTTTGTGCCATCTGCAGCATCAATGAGATGATCCAGCAGCAGAACATTGTGGACGTTTTCCACACAGTCAAGACACTGAGGAACAACAAGACCAACATGGTGGAGACGATGGTGAGAATCAGAATAAACTTTAGTGAAGCCTGACTTAAGTATTTAGAGATGGTGTTACATTTAAAGCTAATTTGCAAATTGAGACAGATGAAAGATGTTTAAATTATTATGATCCCCGACGGTTGTACAATCCAAACCTTGAATTATCGGCAAAGAGACACTACAAATTTAATTAGTCAAATAACTTTTTACATTCTCACCAAATGCTTTTAGCACAAAATGAAAGCTGAAAGAGGTCGAGCGAAACTCGCCAATACAGCAACGTCAAGGTCGAACATAAACAAAACGGAGTTATAGGTCACCGCAGGAAAATGAGCTTCAATGAAAAATCAGAGCAGAGCTGTGAAGTCAGGATGTTCACATCCAAGGTAATGACTCTTATAAGAGCTTCACTAAATTAGCTTTTATTTTTATGTGAAAAAGTTACTTTTCAATACTTTGTAAAAGGTCATGAGTTCATGGATAAGAGCAATTGATTGGTCAAGGTATTACACTGACCATTTGTGCCCTTTTATAAACAATAATTGTTATTTTATGGTTTATCTCCTTACTTATGCCTCAAAGGCCAATTTTTTACTCCAGAAACATAACATGCATATTTCATTGTTATTTTCATTCTTATTTTTTAATAGTCGAGAGAGAACAAAATTATCCATACCCCTGGCATGTTTAGATTAGACTTGTTCTTTTGCAGCCAAGAAGTTTTCTTTTCTAATATTAAATGACACAGATGCCTCCTAAAAGACAAAAACAATGATTTAACAAACATTGATGGTAAAAACTGCTCTGATGTTGTTTAGAGCTTGTTTTAATGGGCCACCCGCTTAACACTTTCTTAACTTCTGCGATTCAAGTTGAATTTCTGAAATGTTCAGATTAAATAAACGTCTGATTCTCCTTTGGTTTGTCTTCTCCTCAGGAACAGTACAAGTTCTGCTATGAAGTGGCTTTAGAGGCTCTGAACTCCTTCTGATCCGACGCGTCTCCGCTGCAGACGCCTCCTCCCGGAGACCCACGGAGTGAAAAACAGCTTCTTGTTGAGCTGAGCTCAACCTGGGAGAGCGTGTGTGTGCATCCTTTTGGTGTGCCTGTGACCTGTACAGAGGATGGGGGGAAAGCCGCCAACAAACACACTCAATGTTTTGTGTGTGCATTTGCTTCAGCAAGACAATGGACTTTACATGCTTGTATAAAGAGAAATTATGTTAAAACATTGAGATGTTTTAAAAAAAAAAAGCCAATTTTTTTCCCCTTGTTTTCTTTCTCTTTCCTCTCTGCCAGGCTGTGATGTGACTAATGTACAGTATTTCCTTTTTAGATATATTCTACGCCTTGAATGTTGTCTCCCTCTGAAGGCTCGAAGCACACTGGAAGGTTTTACAGAATGAACGTCAGCTTAAAATAAAAGAAATCACATTTTTTAGAGCACATTTGCTCTTTGACTGAAACAAACTGTTACTAATGCAACAAAATTAGTTTTACCAGGTCAGAAAACGATAACTGCAGAACATGGATCAACATGTCCTACGTTTGAAGGCCAAAGCAACTGAATTTCTTCTCTTTCTGGGTACAGTGATGAAGAGCGAGTCTTCCAGTGTGCGTCCTCTCTTTCTGTAAATAAGATAAGGCAACCACAGTCAAACAAACAAACACCAGAACAAAATTATTTCACTGCAGCTCTGAAAAGCTGTTTGTCATTTTCATTCATTTATAATTTGGTGTTTTCTTTCTACATCCTGTACATGTATGAAAATAAGATTTTTTTATATTTTGCATTTTGCTTTTCAGCTGCTGGAACAGGATGCGGGTGCTTGATTGTTATGATAAAAAAAAAAGTATCTGTTTTGGAAAGAGTCTTTCTTCTATCCAGCTATCAGTGATGCATTTGCATGTGTGACACTTTGAGCTTAGTGGAAAGGTGTAAATATGGAGAGAGGAAACCTTTTTCGCACTATTTTTGCAATGATAGATGGATTTGATCCATTCAAGATATGTGCTCACCAAGTCTGATCAGAAAGAAATTTACTCTGTTAAGTGTCCTTGATTTCCATCCGATTATTAAGCCATGCTCTGAGGTTTTAGAGGTGAAGTTTCCGTTTCAACCCTCCACTTTCTAATCATCAAAATGACAAAGATATGGTTCACATTTATTTTTACTCTGCAACACGGAGAGCTGGTTTAAAAACTCAGACTTTATTGGGTAGAAAATCATTTCAGCCTATCAACAGAGAACCTACATGAGGGAAATGTGGAGCTAACAAGAACAGAGACCGCAGGTGTCTGTTCCCTCCCACTTAGTCAGGGGGAACAGATGCCCCCTGTTGGCGTTAACAGACTTTACATACCAGGACACAATAAAAATGTCCGTCTTTACCAGGATCTAAGATGATTCAAAAATATGCAGAAGTCAACCATCTGCTGAAAGGGGACAGCAATGACACGCACATGTCTGCTAATGCGCTAATAGCAGAGCTAATATTTCCTCAAGCTTTTTATCTAACTATAAAAACATTTAGTGCAATTTGATTTTTTTTGATAAATTCTAAAGCTAATTTACTTTCCAACCTTCAGTTGAATGAAGTTTAGGTTACCGACTGTTACAAATTCTTCAGGTTGGTAGATGTTTGTATTCATGCTCTCATTTTGAAGTGAGCACAGACGGTTTACGTTGCAGACGGTTCGGTTTTCTCTCCCCACGTTCTTTTTCCCCCCTAAAAACTATTTCAAATTAGAAACATAATAAAGTAATGTTACTTCAAGAGGATTATACAACATGCAAATCATGAAAACATTAAATTTGTGCTCAGGAATTGTAATTCTTCCAGAGCATATACAAATCTAGTTAGCGCTTTAGCATCAGGTTAGCACAACTAACATTTTAGCTACCGTAGTTGTGCTAACTATAAAGCACACGTTTTCAGTCTGAAAGCAGGATTACACGTTTTTTGTTCTCAAAACTTTTGCTTACGTTTTCATTTTGAAAGCAGGACTTCATGTCTTTCTTAAATCTTGGAACATTTACCCAAACCTTTGTCCTCGTAATCTTGCAGAACTCTGCTCGCTTAAGAAACATTGTCTGCTTGACTTTGGAACCATGCTGGGTGCGTTTGTTTCCTTCTAGCGGGTTTGCCTGTGTGGTGACTATTGATTGTGGCAACCTGCGCCACCCACTGGATGTAGGGAGTTAGCTAAGTGAACAAACTCCTGCCTAATATCAGTAGGCTGTTAACGATCAGTAGCATACTGCTAGTGGATGTTTCGTATAACATGGAACAGAAAGCTGAGGCCGTTGTTTCTCCCTACATCCAATGGGTGGCGCAGGTTGCTACAACCAATAGTAGCCACACTATGGCTACTCAGTGTGGCTGGGTGCTTTTGTTTCCTTCTACCGGAAACAAATGGTACAACACTTTCATTCTATTGGCTGAGAAGTTGCCAGGTGACTGTGCCAAAAGGCAGTTCCTTGTTTTGTAAGCAAGCAGAGTCCAAGCAGAGACTAATTGTGAGTGCGAGAAGTTTTGAGTACAAGTGAACGACTTGATCAACTTGAATTAAAAAAAAACCTAGGAGAAACAAATGTCTGCAAACACATTTAAACAGAAGCAACTTTGTAAGGAAGAGTAGCTGAGAATTTCCTTCACAACACTTTGTGATTACTGAAATGACTGGATCTACGTATAACTTCTTCATTTTGGCATATTTGTTTTACTAATTGTGGTGGTTTTAAGGCGTTTTTATACATTTGAGGTCAGATTTCTGTATTTGTTTTTCTTGTTTCCTGAAATCTAAAACATTAACACTGAAACGGGGATTTTCCTCCTAACCCAACTTTACCTTAAGCCTTTTAGAACCAGAAAGTATATAATTCACTCCTGTGTTGGTTATTTTATTCAGAAATTTCTCATAATTGAATGATTTGAACAACAAAAATATGTTCATAATCAAAAAAGCAGCAAAGCTCACTCTGCAAACCATGTAAAAGAATATGACAGTCTTTGTTTACGTTCTCCTTCCCCCCCAGCTTGAGTCCATCTGGACTTATTATGGACCTATTGAGACAGATTATAACAGTTCTATACTGAAGACAGCGTGAATGACAGAAATCTTTTCCCATTTTTATTTTTACAGAAGCTTTATTTTACTTTATGTGCTTGATTCACGACTCTTGTACTATATTTTGTTTCTGATCCATTCATTGTGAGGTTTTGTCCTGAATTTGTACATTTCTTTTGTAAAATTCTTACTCTGATGATTATTTGTCAAGCAAAGTGCTGTTTCGATCTGGTGATGCCATTTTCATTGGTTGTTTAGTTGTTTGAAATGTGGTTAACAGTAAATAAAGGGACCAAAACACTGAATGGAATCTTGCTTGTGTTCCTTTTTAGTTTCATTAACAGTGTATTATAATATTTTCATGTTTTTTCCAGAGTAACTTTAATCATGAATCATTACCAAAGGAGCGACGATGTCAGCTAACTGACTACAGGAGATTGGAAATATAAGATTAGATTGTATTTAGGCAAATGTAGCCTGGGTTGAATTTGACTACAAATTAACCCAACTTGTAAAGTTGCCATTTAGTTTGAACTGAAACTAAATAAAACTAACTTTAACCCAAATTATTTGATGTATTAATAAAATATTAAGAATGGATTCAAATTTATATGGCTGCACAGTGGTGCAGTTGGTAACAGTAAGAAGGTCCTGGGTTCGATTCCCGGCTCGATCACAAGATCAAGGGATCTTGCCATGCCGCTACCTTGAGGTGATACCAGGAGATTTTAACATGTTAACAAGTTTGGCAATAATAACAGTAAATGATCAAACTTGAGCTATTTCCCACTGTTGCCATCAAACTAACCAACTGTGAGTTATATTACCTGCTTTTAATACGTTCTTCAACCCCACTTAAAAATTATTCATCCTTTTACACAATCAAACTTTTTAAAGTGATAATTTATTAGAATTATCCAAAGTATTTAAATCAGTCAAACTCAAAATGACATGACAAATTATAAAGTGCATTTGCTTTTAAGAAGCAGCGTTATTGTGATTAAAAATACAAGAACCTACCTGAGGTCTGAGCTCCCATAGAAGAAAGTCAATCTGCACAATTTCATGTTTTATATTCAGCAACTCGCTTCCGGATCAGCAGGACTGTCAAACAGAAAAAAATGAAAAGTTTGGTCATGAAAAATAAACCAGGTTAAGGAATATTTCATCACTCACTGGGTTCAATCAGGGGGACACAGTCAAACACAATGAAGAAAAGAAACTGAAGGAAAGGTCGTGTCGAACCAACTGGACTTCATCAGGAGTTTGCTTAGCATCCCACCATCATGCACTCCCATTATGTTCCCTAAGATAAAAATAAAACCTTTGGTCTTTCCAGGGTGATTTTTTTGCTTTTCTAATCAATCAGTCGGTGATCACCGCAGCGCCAAGCCAACAGCCTCATCCTTTATTTAGCTGCTTGATTCCCAAGGAGCTCATAAATATGCATGAGGCTGCGATTAGCATAGGCACCAAGGACGGGGCCTGTACCTCGGCATTATGACGATCAATCAGAAACACCGAGGGGCCCCACAGAGGGAAGCTGTCTGTCAGTTCGGCTTTGGGCTCAGTTGATGCTCACACGCACATCAAATAAAGGTATCCTCAAAGCACACAGACACACACCTCACCCGGGCCACGAACGGCTCACAGAAACCCACAACGTCTCTCTGTCACCGTCTATCAGCTCCCATTCTTTACTCACTTTCCTGTTTTCTGAGCCGACTTTGTAATGAGTTTGAAAATTGGCCCATTTCATTTGCTCTCACTGAAATGTCATTATCTGGGTCTGAGAGGGAGGGGTCCACACTGCTACTATAATATATTTGTTCCACTCAAACAGGGTTATTAATATTTCCTCTACCCTGGAAATGTGTAACAAGGTTATTGGAAGTCTGCAGCACATCCAATTCATCTCCCTCTGTCGGTTTTAGACTCATTGCGAAAATTTGATTCCTCTAATGTGCCTGACGCTCTTATGCACTTCTTATTCTGAATCTTTGTGCTCCCTCAGCTGCAGACACGTCCCCTCCAGGCGTGTTGGGAACATTTGAGCAGATTTCAGGGAGACCTACGCAAACTTCTGGATTCTTTGGGATCTCCTTTTAGAACATGTCTGTCTGCGGCGTGCAGAGTGGGGCATCCTAACCCAACCCTGTCATTGGAAAAGTGTAAACTTCAGTTAGATTTTATGTGATAGATAAACACACAGTAGTGCTAGGAAATCTGAGCTAAATTCTGCACTATTTTCAGATCAACACTTTGTAGAACAACCTTTTGCTGTGTTACAGCTTTAAGAAACGGTGGATGTTGTTGTTTTATGTCCGAGTCAGAGGGAAGTAGGTCAGTTATGCTAGCTTGACTTTGACGACGTTAACATGTAGATGTGTTGTGGAATTCAAAGAGTTTCAGTTCAGTTACAAAAACAAGTGTTTAATCAAAAACTACTGAAATATGCAACAGACTGAACGTTTGTCTGACAAAGGTAGATTTTATGGATTAACAATAATTTAATGGTTGTTTTAGGAAAGTGACTTAATTACAATTTTGGAGTAGAATCCATGCCTCTGCATCTCAGCTGACAGCTTTGTGAATTATTTTCACTTGACTTTTGCTTTGTTTTCTTGCTGCCTCCAGGCACCAACAAAACACCAAACTTGTTAAGAGAATAACTCTAATTAGACGGCAGCTGCAGCGTCTGATGTTTTGACTGCTCACTCTTGTGACACCGGATGTGGTTGTGAACGAACAGAACAGCTGCTCTGGTCAAATCCAGTCCCTTTTTCATTCTCTCCAGGACGGCCATTAATTAAAGTATGAATGCTGTCAAAATGAACACAGAGGAGTAATTACCAGACGCTTCGTGCAAAAGGTTGTGCTGACGGCGCCGTGGATGTTTGGAAACAAGAAAAAAACTGCAGGGTTTCCTCATCTTTAGGATAATTACAAAACAGCTAAGCTATGAAAAGAAGAACAGCCAGATGTGTCGTTGTGTTTCGACATATTTCTGAGAGAACTCTTAGATATTTCACCCAGTTGATATATTTAAGAAACATTACTCTGCTAAACTTTTGGTGAATAAGAATAATAAATCTACTTGAAGAACATTTATCTGCAAAATTAACCAGTTGCTAAAAACACTAAAATTCAGCTGATTCTAAAACTAAATAAATGTTTTATAAAATTATGGTTTAAAAAAACCCTACTTTGCATAAAACCTGGTAATCCCTGCAGACTGACTGCAAAAAACTCAATCAGTGTTTAAACCTTTAGCAGAATTTGCATTAAATATTAGATGATATTAGAGTAACAGAAACAGTTTAAGTATAACATCAGGATGTTGATGCTGTTCTCTCTGACTGTCAAAGAAACGACGCAACAGCATTTCGGAGCTTCGTGAAGTTTCCATGAAATCAGTGAACTATATAATATCTGAAACTATGAGTTTGCATTTCTACTTTAGATTAATTTTTTGAATCACCAACTTTGGTCAGCTGAACATCTGATTGACAAACGGTGTGGAGAATCAAACATTTAAGGCTGAGGAAGTTGGAGAGATGGAAAAGGTAAATATAATGATGTACTAATTGAGTTACAGTCAGAATGCCGGTGTGCTGAATTGAAGTTAACGTTTGCGCCACTGAAATCAGCCTAATTGTCTCCCTCTGCAGTTATCTGCTTTGTTAGAGACTGACAGCCATGATGATTATTACTCAGGCAGACTGTCTGGAAATGCAGCTCCTTGACGGGGCTTTGTGCATAGTTTACTGACTCCCATTACAGAGCTCAGTATCACAGAGCGCGTGCAGCCAGACATTTTCAGTCAGAGAGCTGACAGTAAAGCCTTTGTACGTGTGTGGTGTGTGTACGCGAGTGAGCATCCAGCGCTAATTTCAGAGAGATTACTTAGGCGTGCTGAGCTTAACGGAGCGTATTGGCCTATAGGAACCCTTCAATAGTAATTGTTGTTCAGAATGATTGTGTGTGTGGATTTGTGTGGACAGGAGTGAGTCTCTGAGACAAAGAGGTTTAGGAAAATAAGATAGAATGGAGTGGAACAAAAAATAGATGAGAGATACAAGAAAAAAGTCACATTTACTCAGCATTTAATGGCACTGACCATAAAATGCAGAATAAACTGCAGTCAGTAAACAATACGTTCTGAAACAGAACTAAATGTCAACATCTGAAGTAAAGTAAATGTCAGACTCTGTATTATATGTTTACAATCTGGTCAGGATACTGCAGAGCGCCTCCAGCACGTCCCGTTGGGAAGACAGGCCAGAGACCATCCAGAACTCACTGGAGGGAAAAGGCATCCCGACCGGGATGGGAACACCGTGGAACACTGTGGGAACACTGTGGGATCCCCAGGAAGCAGTGGAGGGACAGGGATGTTCCCTCCTAAACCTGCTGCCCCGCCATCCCATCCCAAAGAACCAGGAAACAATGGATGGAACCTTAAAGCAGGTATTAAACATGAAAATGTTTCATTTTTGGCGTAGAAAGTGGAAAATCATCATAATTTATAGAAATAAAGGCTTGAAAGTGGTCTGTGAGCAGTTGATCTAAATGTTTTCACTTCTTGTATCAACTTGCCAACAATTTTTCTGGCAGCTTTGATTCAAAATAGTTTGTGGGAAACGTCAACAAGTATTGTATGATTCATGCTCTGAACTGGGATTATTCAAAGGAGCGACCTTTAAATAACTGTATGCATTACCAGTAAAAATTCAGATGGATTTTGATGCATCAACCTGTAAAGCTACGTTTATACTTGAGGCTATGAACTGGGTGAGAGGATGACGTTTTTCTAACGTTTTTCTAACGTGGCACAGATCGCATGAGCCACCATTAACTCAAAATGGACACTTTGGAAGGTGATCTCTGCAGAGCAGGTTTGTTTGTGCCATCATTTATACAATCACTCGATGAGGGCTCTTTTTGGAGAAAACTGCACCAATGTATGCATCAAGTATGAAAGTCACACTCAACATGAGCCCTGAATAAGGTCAAGATAGGTCAGCTTTACGAGGAGATCCTGGCATTGCTGAGATTTCATGTCCAATAATGTCACACTGGCCCAGTTTAACATTAAGACATGATCTTTGACATGATCAAAAAGGGGTTTTAGTATGGGTGTGTGTGTGTGTGTGTGTGTGTGTGGGGGGGGGTGTTTATTTATTCGTGGGTATCCTGGGCTTCAGTGTTTGAGATTGACATTCTGATGACCTGTAGAGGATGATTGCCAGCAATCACATCTCTGGACTGTCGTCCTCCTCCCCTCTTTTAGAGACACCATCAC